GGACAGAGTACAGATCTATTAAAATCAAAATAATTACTATATTTAAAACTATGTTTCAAAGTTAAATAAGAAAATCACTCCAATACTATTTTGATAACATGAGCTTGCTTTTTTTCGAGATCACCAGGTAAAACAGAAATTGAAAGTCAGAATTTGTTAGATACAATTACCTGGGATATAGGTAGCATACTTACCTCAGATAAATTAGCAGAAATAGATGAGTCAGAGACTCGAGACTTTGTTTCTTTAGTAGATACATTTACCTTAGCTTCTGGTAATTCTAAGTAAGTAGAGCTTCAAGTCTTTAACTCATCTTGATTATTTTCTTGTAATAGTTTAGTTACGTGTGTGTGACAATTTGTTATACTTATCATATCTGTTGAATACTTAGAAAAATCATTTATAAGATTTTAAATTTGAATATCCTTTAGACTTGAAATAGCACTTGCACTATAAGTTATTTGACTAATTTTATCAATTCCTACTCCTTCATAGAATATATATACTTTTTTTACTCTAGAAGTTATTTTATGCAAGTTTACATCAGTAACATCAGGAAAGAGCAATTTGATTTCATTATATACTATCATTCTTGCCGATTGGTCATCAGTATTATTCACAGATTTAATATCACTAACTCGATTTTTATACGCATTATAATAGCAATACCAGCACAAACTTTCCTTCTGTCGAACCTTTATTGCTACCCTAAATAAATCAACTATATCTTGCAATGTAACCTTACCTAATCCTGTTAAAATCGATTTTAAAGAAAATTCAGGAATCTGAATATCAAATACTTTATTAATATTATGGTTATTATCTTTAGTACAAATAAATAGCTCAAGTCTTAAACTTTTTCTACTTTTTGAATATAAGGAATTTTCTGATTAAACAATAGGTTAGTAGATAATTTAGACTCAGAACTTATTTCTGGAATGTTTGGATTTGATAAATCATAGCCTCGAAGCTTTGTTTCTTTCCTATTATCTCTGTTGAATTCTTTGAATTCATTTCTAATGTAACAGTTTTTATATTATATAATGAATTAGACTGTTCTGATGAATTATTATCTGAAGATAAACCTTGAGATCTAAGCTTCTTTGCCTGATTCTTTTCTCTTATTTCATTACTAATCCATTCTTTATATACGATCTCTTTATCTTCTCATGATTTAGATTCTGTATAAATAGATGATATGGAGTATTGAATCTTCGACCCCTGATATATATCAGAACTTAAAGCATCATTAGTTATATCAGATGTAGGAGTATCATCCTTTAACAATTTTATAACAAGGTTGGGTATATTAACAACATTTTTGGATGAATTATCACTATTTTCTAATCTACCTAAATTATTGTTTTGCTTTTGCTTCAATTTTGCAAATTGTCCTTCATTTTCTTTTGCTGACTATTCTTGTTCTATGATTCTTGCATTGAGTTTAGCATCTCTTAGCTTTGCTTTCTCAGCATTTTCTTTTATAATCTGTTTTAGCTCAGTCTCAAGTACGTTTTTTTCTTTTACTATTTGTTCTAATTTTGCGATCCTAGTTATAAGCTTAGCATTTTCCAGTTTTAATAAGCCAACTTCAGATAAATCTTTAGATGAGATATAGTCTCAAGGCTTTGCCTCTTTATCCCTTTGAGTTTGCATATTTGATATTAATTTATATAATATTTGGAAAATGAATTTTACTATATACATTTTGAAAAATATTTTTTCTTGATAATTAATTCTTTTAATTTCAAATAAAAAAATTATATGTGCATGACAATTTGTCACACCGATCACTTTTGCCAAGAAAAATTTTTGATCATATTTAACATAAACATCGATACCAATATATTATAAATAACATCAAAATACACATGCAAAAGTAAACTGATTATGTGTATGAAATCGAGCCACCAGGGCTTTATTATATAAAAATAAAATGCAGAATAAAAATATGAAATATTTTCATCTAAGAAATATCAAAAAATTTTTGCGATAGCATTTTATTTTTTTACCGAAAAGTTATCGATCGTATGTGGCATCAATATCAAAACATTGAAATAAATTCTGAAATACAATGCAAAAGTTAAAACGATCATATTCACCAATGCAATAAAATCTCAAAATATATATGCAAGAGTAAAAATGATTATAAATACTTTGTCATACCTTATACATGCAAGTACATGTTAAATATAAAGCCCAAAATATGTGTAGACTTTATTTTTTTTGACACAAAAAATACAATATATTCACAACAACCCAAAGCACCTGGTGAAATAATTATTTCTATTATGCTAATTTTATTTTTCTAACACTGCTTAATTCAGTAATTAATAAAGTTCAATAACTCCGCTATAAATTTAAACTAGCCCAAATGCATTATGCAGTTTCGATCCTTTCTAGCCAGTTATCATTTGGAAACCACTAAAATTTAAACTTCGTTAAGATATATTACAAATAAAAAAAAATATATATTAATCCATTATAAATAATCATCTCTCTAAACATATCTTTTACCTGATCAAGAGCAACTGAAGTGGTTGGTCGTCTATTTGGATTACTTTTACACAAATCTGTGCCGAAACCTGAAAGTTCTGAAGGAATGCCTGTGACATTACATGTACCAATTAAGTTCCCAATGCCCCATATATCAACCTTAAAATCATGCTTTTTATTTAGCATTTCAGGAGCATGATCACTTTCAGAAAATTCTTCTAAAGGCTCATCAGAAGGGGAAAAGTCAGCATAGTCAAAGTCGATTAAAATAAATCTTTGATATCCGTCGTAATGGCAAATAACATTTGGCCATCGAACATCTCTGTGCATTATCGGTTTGGGCTTTATTTCATGCATACCCTGTTGGAATATGATAAAAATGTATAAATATAATATATATACGTAATAGCGAAAATACTAAACTATACCTTCAAACAAGTTAGTGTACAAATTAATGCCTGCAGTAATTCTTTGAGATCATTTGGTTCACGTTGTTCTCCACGTGGCGCCAAATTAACAGAATGTGTAGATGAATGTTCTAATTTGTCGGAAAATCTAACATTGTTTGCCTATATAAATAGTTAGAATGTGCTCTAAAAACTTGAACCTTTTGAAAATTATCGAACTTACACTTAATATTCCATAAATTTCTTTTAAATGAGTAACTCGCTTTTCGTCCACAAACCTTTTCTTAATTGTATACCCAAGTTCAATAATAGTTCCATTTTGTCGAGGAATTGTTTGAAATTCTGGCGATTCCCTCGGAGGGCATAAATTCGCTATAAGAGGTAATAGACGACCTAAATAAAATTAATTAATATTTTATTATCTATGATAATTTAAAGCTCATAAAGGCACTTACAAATATTTCGAAGGAAATTCATGATGCGAATTCTATCCGGCAAACGCTCTAAATCAAATTCTGCAATCCGTTCAGAATAAACGCTCAGTTTTCTTTTTTTTAGTCGACTTATTTTCAGGCTTATGCAAAGTAACAAATGTGACATAGGCGCCAACGGCATAATATGCAAAGATGTATGGTGCATCTCCATAGGTCCAATCATTGAATTTATCCACTAATTCTCTTGAAGGATCTCCCGCTTCTTCACGAGATTTTTCTTCACCTCGAAAAAGACAAGTATTTCTTACTAATACAACCATATCTGGACAATTGCGACCTATGAATTTTTTGTTAATAAAAATTATACTGATCATTCGCTACTACTTAATTTACCTGTTGAGGTTCGTTTGCTAGTATTGCGATCAAATTCCAGCATTGGCAAACTCGCGTTATGCTTTCCAAACATCTCTATCGTATTTTTAATAATACTATCCCACAAATCATGATACGAGTCTTCAGTTTTTCCATATGAAGGAGGGTAAATTAACTGCCCTATAAGTCTTGAATAAAGTAATGTACATTCCACTTCTGTACTTAGTACAAAATATGTATCTCGTTCCTCTTTAGTTATCAGACTTGTATTAAATTGGAAAAAAAGATTAGGGGAAAGCGGTATTTTTGCAGGAGGATTTTCGTTAAGGAAATTTGCTAAGTCGGATTTGTTAGGAAGTTGACCAGGGCTTTGAACTAATTGTTTCATTATTTCAGGAGTAATATCTAAGATATTATGGGGACGTAAGAACAAGAACAGAAGGGAAAAAAGAAAGATAAGGAAAATTAGAACTTACCTTCTGGTGCTACTAATAAGGAGGGAGCTACTAATATGGAGGAGATAATACACGTTAGTATTTGTTTTTGTGTTCAGTAGTAGTAAATAAAAAAGGTATATCATAAAAAATAAGGGTATGGTCAGTCATTTCCATATTTCTTCAGCACAAGAATATAAAGCCTTTAATGAGTATGGCTACATAAATTAACAAACCTTTAAGCTTTTGTTCTATTAGCAGAAATAAACGTATGAGGCCCAAGTTAATAAATGAAATTATTGCGGAGAAAGCAGTATAGGTTTGGAATATTCGAATGCA